GCATATCAATAAGAATGCAGTGGTGCTAGCGGAATTTGACGACTGCATGAGGCCGGATGAGGTGAAGTTTGATAAGTTGCAAGTATGGGCTAGGGTTGTTAACCTGCCATACAATTTGCGTGATGAGGCATGGTGGAAGCCAATAGCTCAACAGATAGACAAGAACGCTCTTTCAGTTAAATTTGACCACAATGGTGGGTTTCTGCGAGCAAGAATTTCCATCGATGTTGCTAAGCCAATCAGGCGCTGGATCCTAATAGACTCTGCCAGGAGGAAGAAGGTAGATATATACGATATCCAATATGAAAATATACCATACTTCTGCTTCTCCTGTGGTAGGTTAGGGCACTCAGATTTGCATTGCCCAACTCCTGGTTCTAGGGACGAGAATGGTGAGCTTTCGTTCGGCCCAAAATTACGCGCTCCTGACGAGTCCCGGAAGTCACCGAGCAGTGAAAATTCTTCCAAGGATCCACAGAAGGGTGCCAACTACAAGCCAACAACCAGAAACTCGAGCACCAACAAGGAGCCAGGGGAAGAGGTTATTTCCCCGATCAAGCACAGGGCTCCACCAAAGAGGAAAGATGCTCCGAACCAAGTATACAGACCGATGGTGAAAACTTGCTGCTTACAGAGGGGGAACCGAGTGCAGCCAATGGTGTTGAAACTATTGGCAAGGATGGTGAGACTTCTGCTAGCAATGAAGTAGAAGGTGATGAATTTTTACGGGATCCAAAGAAAAAGAAGCCCACACCTGAGAATTCGGCAGAGACCGCGCCGCGGTCCTGCCCAACACAATGACATGCTTGAGCTGGAACTGCCGGGGGCTTGGGAACCCCGAGGCAGTTCGCGAGCTTCGCAGTATAGTGAAGCTAGAAAGACCCACTCTTCTCTTTGTGATGGAAACGAAAATTCAAGCTAAAAGAGTTGAGGCGTTGAAGTGCACTCTCGGTTTTGGAGGGTGTTTTGCAGTAGACAGTGTCGGCCTAAGTGGTGGCATTGGTCTGTTTTGGTCACGTGATGTGAATGTTGAGCTGAAAAATTTCAGTAAGTGTCACATTGATGTGGAGGTTCACAGCAACAATCAGAGTTCTTCGGTTTGGAGGTTTACTGGTTTTTATGGGGCGCCAAGAGCTTCAGATCGTGGTGAAAGCTGGCAGCTCCTGCACACTCTTTTTTCTATACCCCATGCAGCATGGCTGTGTATGGGGGATTTTAATGAAACTCTCTATGGTTCCGAACACTTTAGCAGAAGAGCAAGATCAGAGACACACATGCGAGCGTTTCGGACTGTCATGGATGAGGTTTCTATGCAAGATTTAGGCTGGTCGGGTACACCATATACGTGGGACAATCAGCAAACAGGTGCAGCAAATGTAAAGGTCCGTCTCGACCGAGCTTTTGGAACGAGGAGTTTCAGCAACTTTTTCAACATATACGGGTCAGACATCTCCCCTCAGTTGAGTCTGATCACTGTTTCGTTGTAGCTGAGATTAAGGACATGCCTTTGTACGGGCCACGGGCTAAAAGACAATTTCGTTATGAGAACGTATGGTAGACGCACTCGGATTATGATCGCCTGCTATGTGATACTTGGCGGGGGATTCAGCATACGCCAGGGCTCCAAGGGATTGCATCAGCCTTGGGGTCCCTCCAGTCTATTCTTGAGCCATGGGGCTCAAAGGAATTTGGTTTTTTGACACGCATGGTCAGGAAACTTCAAAAGAGATTGGATCGTATCAGGTGCTCCACCATGGGGGTGGGACCAACGGATGAAGAGAAAAGTATTGTCAAGAAGCTGAAGGAAGCGCTCCACCAAGAGGAGGTGTGGCTTCGACAGCGTTCACGGGTTCCTTGGCTCCTCGAGGGCGATCGGAACACTTCCTACTTTCAGGCACAAGCTGCCCAGCGAAAGAGAATGAACAAGATACATGGCTTACGCCGTGTAGATGGCACAATATGTGAATCTAAGAGTGAGGACAAGGCTGAGGTGCTAGCTTTCTATCAGAACCTGTATCAAACGCAGGGTTTTACTGAGGCTAGCGATTTATTATCTCATGTGCCCGTCAAAGTGACTCAGGGCATGAATGATGATCTTACCAAGCCATACACCGTAGATGAGGTCAAAGTGGCGTTGTTCCAAATGGCGCCATCTAAGGCTCCTGGTGTTGACGGCTTTACTGTAGGGTTTTATCAGTGGCATTGGGACTTGCTCGGCAATGACGTGACCTTGGCAGTACTGGACTTTCTGAATGGGGGCGAGTTACCTTCGGGTTTGAACGACACTGCTATCACTCTTATCCCCAAGGTACGACACCCACAGTCGATTTCACAATATCGTCCTATTGCTTTGCGTCCGGTCCTTTATAAGATTGCGGCCAAAGTTATTACTAATCGCTTGAGATACATTATGGATGATATTATCAGTGAAGAGCAGAGCGCTTTTGTTCCTGGTCGTCTCATCACAGACAATGTACTGGTTGCTTATGAAAGTATACATACGATGAGAAGAAGGAAGAAAGGAAAGAATTTCTCTTGTGCAGTCAAGTTAGACATGATGAAGGCTTACGATCTGGTGGAGTGGCATTACCTCGAGGCGATTCTGTCTCATTTGGGCTTCAGTATTAATTTCATTTGCCTGATAATGAAGTGTGTCACCTCGGTTCGGTTTTTAGTTCGGGTTAATGGAGAGCTTCTTCCATTCTTCACCCCATCTCGGGGTTTTCGACAAGGTGATCCAGTTTCTCCATATCTGTTTCTTCTTTGTGCAGAAGGGTTTTCCTCATTACTGAAGTTTTATAATGATGGATACATTGATCGGGGACTAAGAGTGAGCTATAGATCACCTTGGGTCTCTCATTTGTTGTTTGCAGATGACAACCTAATCTTCATTAATGCAAGCGCAGCTAGTGCTTTGCGTCTGAATGAAATTCTGAGGATCTATGGTGATGCCTCGGGTCAGTGTGTGAACCGGGACAAAAGCTCTATTTATTTCAGCACAAATACCCCGGACACCATCAGGCAAGATTCGAAGTCGAGTTTGAATATCCAAGTCGAGGCTTTTAGTGAGAGATATTTGGGGCTCCCCACTGCGGTTGGACGTATCACCAGTGGATCATATTAGTGAGCGAGCTCGTGGGAAGATGCAAGGGTGGTCAGAAAAATTGCTTGCATGTGTTGGACGGGAAACTTTGCTCAAATCTGTAATTCAGTCTATTCCCACTTATCCCATGAGCACTTTCCTTCTCACCAAGAAAGTTTGCAAGAGTCTCACTTCCCCCATGGCTATTTTTTTTGGAGTAGCTCTCTTGATAAAAAAGCAATGCATTGGGTATCCTGGAAGGAGTTATCTAAACCCAAGTGCGAGGGGGGGATGGGGTTTCGAGACCCGCATCTGTTTAACCTAACTATGTTGGGAAAGCATGGGTGGCGTTTCATCACCAACCCAAATTTGCTTTGTGCGAGAGTACTCAAGGGCCGTTACTTTCCGGATACTGATTTCATGCATGCTTTAGTTCCCAAGTCAGCCTCGGCAACTTGGAAGGCGATTGTGGCCGGAAGGGACGCTCTGAAGACAGGGTTAATCTCCACAGTGGGAGATGGTTCTACTATATCGGTTTGGGAGGACAAGTGGATCCCAGGTACGATCACAATGACTCCAGCTGCGAGACGAACAAGTACAAATATTGAGAGGGTTTCAGATCTCATTGACACACGAAGTTGGTCTTGGAAGATTGATTTGATCAAGGATACCTTCACGGCTCAAGATGTCGCGGCTATCCTTAATATCCCTGTCAGGCAAGGCGGTGGTGACGATTTTCTTGCATGGGCATTGACATATCAGGTAACTACACTGTCAAGACGATGTACCGTGCTCTCGTGACTCAGAACGAGCGTTTGGCTCTAGAGGAAGGGACGGCTACCGAAACCTCATCCGATGATAAACAGTTGTGGAAATCCTTGTGGAAGTTGAATGTTATCCCAAAAGTACGAGTGTTCTGGTGGAGAGTGTTACGTGGCATTCTTCCGGATGAAACAACTCTCAACTATCGACACATTGCAGATGCTCGCCAGTGTAATGTTTGTCGCTCTACGAAGGAGGACCTGAAGCATGCACTAATACATTGTATACACGCACAGAGCTTCTGGGAAGAGGCATGGACATGGCTCGGTCTTCGTCTTCCTCCTCTCCACTCG